TATATATATATATATATATATAAAATTAAAAAAAGTTGTATTAAATTATATCAAAAATTTAATATGTATACCAATATCTAAACAAAATTGAAGAAGATTCATAGGTCCCGATTCTTTGATGTGTTGCATAAACATATATAACAGTTCAGGATCATTTAAAATTTCATTTAAAGATGGTTTGAAGCAATTGTGTGTGATATGTGAATGCATTTCTGGAAGTGTCACCCAGGATTGGAGTATTGGTACAGTAATAGTCTCTGCAGCGTTAGATAGAGTAGTCTCACGATTAGTGGATAATGTCACTAGCATATTTATATTTTCTGGATCTGCCAGTGCATCAATTGCTGGCAATAGCACCCAATTTGCCAAAATTTCTCGAAGTATCACCTAAAAGTACATATAAATTAAAAGAAGTGTATGAAATGTTACATTAATTGCTTGTGTGTACATAATTAATCTCTCAAATTCATAAATATATATGCTACATAATAAAAGCTAAAGAGTAAATTTTGAAAGAACATATCATTACTTTATTATTTGTTGAGACATGTATGGCAGGTAATAAATGTGGTAATAGTGCGGTGACTAGACCCCGTAAATAATTCAACTCAGCTTCTCTTGAATAAGCAGCTGGATGAATTTTAGAGCTCAAACAACTCCCGATGTAATCTTGAGGCATTTCAACTTCAGATATGGGCATTTTGAGTAATGCTTTCCAATCTTGAGCGTGTTGTATGGCCAAAGGAATCAAGCCATCAAAAGCGAGGGTTGCCGTGTCTGCACGTAATAATCGAATGGTAATATTCTTTGCTGCTGTTGTTATAGCTAAACGTAGTTGTTGTATGAAAGCTTCATTAGTTGAAATATCCGAGTACCAAGTACAAACATACATTTGGAGTAATTCTTCCAGAAGCTACAAAACAACAGATTTATATACCTTTTGCCAACAAATACAGAATAGTGATAGTAAATTATGCATAAATGTATAATTATTAATTACTTGCTCCAATGCATGATCAAAGTCTTTTGGTACTTTGACTTTGGTCGAATGCGGTAACAATTTATGCCTTTTGCAAGTATTCTTACTGCAGACGCTACATGAATCCTTAATTTCATATCTTGCAATAAACTTGTCACTTATAATATTGAATCTCGTCAGCAAATCGTAAACGCGTTGTTCATTTATAATATTGTACCTCGTCAATAAACTGTCAACACATTGTACTAACTGAACAGCGTAAAAACTGGCAATCATATAAATACTAATCACGATAAACACCCACAGAATGCTGTGAAAAAATTAATAGAATAATTTCACGTATGTGATTCATATACATTATTGACAAATATGTTATTTACCTATTAAATACAATCACAATAAATACGACAAGTAAAATAATAATCGCCGATGTTGCAGCACTAAAAAAATACAGATCCTGCATTTCGTCGCTGTTGAATAGTGATATTGCAGAAAGCAATTTTGTGTTTAGTAAAACTCTTCTTGCCGTTATCACAAAGTCATTTTTTTAATCAAAAAATACTTTCTTTCTCGATTCATAAATTGTCTTTTTTATCGCTTTGACAGTTTCAAGTGGCGACTCTACACCAGTTTACACTTCTACACTCTCTACAATTACATACAGTTGTTTACAGCGCCCTTACAAGTATTCTGAAATTAAAATACAATAAGTAATTAGTGGATTGCGGCGAAAGAAAACAAAGAATAACATAGAGAAGGGGTCGATTTTATTTTATATTTTCGTGTGATGATTCAAGAGCGGATTGAGGAACTTTGTTATCAGAACACACAATGATGATATAACCTATATAGATGCATTATCTTAATATGTCTGATATATTGTAGATTCTCTTGGATTTTGTATGTGATATTTTAATAAGAAAAACAAGATTGCAACAATGTCGAGACCTCCGGACCCAAAATTTCTATTGCGTGGCGACATGGATGAAAATGTGCATAGTTTATTGTTTTCGATTAACTTTGATGTCGAGCATCTCTATGCTGGTGATGGAAAAGGCACAGTACACATTTGGGATTTAAAGGTAAATATTTGTTTTTTTTTTTAATTATAACAGTTTAAATAATTAGATTTAATCCTTCGGAGCTATAAATTCAATTTTGTTTATGTTACATCTGCAAATTTAGATTACTCTTATTAAAATAAATTTAGTATTCATTCTTTTTTATAGGAATTATTTTGGTTCTTTGAAATTAATTAGTGTCTTTTAATCGACATATATTAAAGGGATCTAACACACCTAGTATCAGTGTAACTGTGTTACAAATTTTGGTATCAGCTTAGAGGGTTATTTAATAAAAATTTATACAACATGAGAGAGGAATATTCTATTCTTAATATAAACATGCAGAAAAGAACTTTGAAATTTGTTAAAAAGAATTAAATTCTTTTTATTATGTTGTAGACAAACAGGATAAAATATCAATTATCAGATGGATGTAGTCCATGTTTTAATTTACATATAACTAACAAGACTGACTTAATAGTACAACGAAGACATGGAATAATTGATGTGTACAAAATGAATGAATCAAACTGGATATTAGACAAAAGCATCAATTATGAATATTGCAGTTTTTGCAGGTACGTTAACAAATAAATCTGTTATAAGTATATTAATAAATGAGTCTGTTAAAATTAACATGAATATTTTGTATCACAGATCTCAATTATTACCCGAGAACGATGCAGTGTTGATTCCACTTGATTGTTCTGTAGTAGGGACGTTATCATTAAAAACGTTCAAAGTAGAATCGACATTAGATCCATCCAAACTGTCCTACAGTAATAAATTAGGTACTGTAATGGCGATGAAATCATTGAGGGATGTGAATGATTTCGTTCTAGTTGCTTACGAGAGTGGACAACTATTGTTATGGGATATGAGAAAGAATGATGTTCTTAGTTCTCTTACTGTGGAACAATATCCAATGACTTTCGATTTTGACGCTTCTTTGATGCAAGGCATCCTTGGCAGTGCGTCAGAGAAATTGGAGGTACACTGCAAAAATTGATTTTCATAACTCTGTCTAAAAAGATATATGATTCTGGCGTTGGTAAATTATGTTTACAAATTTTTAGATTTTCGAGATGTTGCCGAATCATACTTTATCCCACAAATGTACAAGATCCTTGGAGCATGTTAATGGCATATCCATTCTTTCTGTAAGACCAGATAAAAAGATTGTCACGGCTGGATGTTGGGACGGACGTATGATGTTATTCTCTTGGAAGAAATTACGGCCACTTGCAATATTAAAAGAACACAGAGCAAGTGTATATGACATTGTTTATTCACAATGTAAGGTCGAGGCCTACGATACTAAATGTTTAATGGCAGCGACTGGCAAAGATGGTTACATATCTATGTGGGATATATATAATAATTAGGAAAATCACAAAATGTAAATACATTTTGTATGTATGAACAAAGCGAGGAATATACAAATATTTATATTGTATATATATGTATAGTTTATTGTAAATGATCTAATAAGTTTTCCATAACAATATTCGTGTATATTAAAAGAGGAAATTGTTGCGTTTATAATCACTACATGAACTTTTAGAGTATTAAAATATTGTTTATTATACAACTGTACATATGTTTTTATATGATCTTATTGCCATCGAACTATATGATACGTCTTTTTACCAACTCTCAACAATGATACATTATTGCTTAGTATATGAATGCCAGGTACAATTACCTCATTTAAATTAGTAATTTTTTGATAATTTACATAAAATCCACCTGCTGTTATGATTCGTTCAGCATCACGATCAGTTTTAAAGCATTTTGCCTTTTTTGCTAGCTCGTATATGGTAATTCCTGGCTGAGATAAGACATCTACTATAGTTGCGCCTTCAAACACATCTATTAGTTCCGATGCATTTAATCTTACAAATGATTCAATTGATTTTTCATACAATGCTGCAGATGCACGCTTTGCAGCCAATAGTCCATCCTCTGTAAAAAATTACAGTATGTAATAAATAATAACAATAACAGAATTTTTTATAAAAATTACCTCCATGTACTAAAAGTGTAACTTGCTCCGCTAATAATTTCTGTGCTCTTCTCTGCTCTGGATCATTCATATGATTCTTTACAATTTCAGTAATATTATTCAACGGTATAAATGTGAACAGTTTTAAGAACTTTTCAACGTCGGAATCTTTAGCTCTGATGAAATATTGATACAATTGGAAGCTTGAGGATTTCGTTGGAGATAACCACACCGCATTCAAAAGAGACTTCCCAAATTTCTTTCCACCTTCAGCTGTTATGAGCGGCAACGTTATACCGTAAACTTCTTTTCGCATACTTTTCGTGATCAGGTCGTATCCAGACATAATATTACCCATCTGATCGCTACCACCAATTTGGAAGCGACACTTGTAATTTTTCATCAATTGAAGCCAATCATTTGCTTGGAATACTTGATATGTGAATTCAGTGAAATTCATCCCTGTCTCAGAATTTAATCTTGCCTGGACAGAAGACCTACCTAGCATTGTGCCCATCCGAAAATATTTTCCAATACTTTTGATAAATTCAATGACATTTACATTTGTATACCAATCCAAATTGTTTACTATAATTAGAGGCTTCAGTGCCGTTTCCTTTTTCCAAAAGTAGTATCTATGATTATTAAATATGGTCTCTATGTTCTTTGTAATAGATTTGATGTTCTCTTCAATTACATATCTTTCTATTTCGATGCGTTCAGATTTTCTATGACTAGGATCGCCTATTAAACCGGTAGCTCCACCAACAAGAGCTATAACTTGATGTCCTGCTCTTTGCCAATGTAAAAGATTCATTAGGATGAGTAGATTGCCGATATGTAAACTGTCTGCTGTTGGATCAAAGCCAGCATAAACACATTGGGATGATTTGTTCAGTAAATCTACTATTTCATTTCTATTAAAAAAATATATAAGATGTAAATTAATATAAATATTAAGAGATGTGTAACGCATTATAAACATTTTTATTAGTTAAAGTAATACAAAAAATAATTCAGTATACTTACGTACTAGTATCGGGAAATATATCCTCGTACATGCCCCTTTCGTGAAGCTTCAATACATTTCTGCTGCAGTAAAATCTGCGTTTATCAAAATTAACGTTTCCGACGATGGAGTTTAACCTTAATAAAGAACGCACGTTCATTTTGCTGTATATTTGTAACTTTAAAAATAATGAACTATTATCTTCGAACTTCAGAGAGTTCAAATTTCGTTATGAAATCTCTACATACAAATATGCGAACGTAAATTCATATGATCAGTGACATTCGCAATTCAAGTTTACACTGTCGATTCCAACCTCAAATAATGCAGCATCTGCCGCTCTGCAGTCTGCTTCACTAACACTATAGCACAATGAGTATACATAGATGTTAGTGCTGAATAAGTTGAATAACAATATTAACTACTTATTTGAAATATTAATTAGATTTTATTTAAATATCAGTATTACACATGTTAGAAAAAATTTTATGAGATTGGACATATACATATTAAATTCACATATTAAAAGAAATAAATTAATAAGTACTCCTTATTAAAAAAGGGAAAGTATTGTAATTTAATAAATTAAATTAGATTGTTGATTTGCTTTAAGAGATAAATATTAATCAAGATGTTTATTGCATTTATTTTAGTATATTTACAAAAGAATACATATAAGCATGTTAAATATTAGGCCAAACAATTGTGTGTATAATATAACAAATGTATAAACTTGCTTATATATTAGTATCCTATTCTAGATGGCGGTGTAGCAAAGTATTTCTTGTTTCTCCTCATAAAAGTGCGGCTGTAAATACAAGTGAAATATAAAATAAGGAAAATATATAGGTAAGACACAATTATTATTTGTGCGATACTTACCTAGAAGCGACAGGAGTGAAGAAACCGCGAGAGATACTACGCTTGAGAAGTGATTCTGTAGATGGCGTATGTTTCAATTCTCCCGGTTTTGGGGTAGAAATGTAATTCGAGTTTGTAGGATTCACGTAAGTTGCCCAATAATCGGATGGAATTTGAAGTAAACTCTCTACTATCTAGAACGTGAAATATATTACGTTATATTTCCCGTATCAGTCATAATGGCGCATTTAGAAATTTTTCCTACCGCAACTTGATGCTGAATATCGCTGATAGATGGTTCCTTGGAAATGTAACCGACTAAAGTTGGTCCAAAGACCTTGGCGAGATTACTAATAGGCATCTTACATTCAACACTACTCGATACTCTCTGTAAATGTAATATCAAAAAGGCTAAAGTATCTCGATTCGGTTGTGGCAGTTCTGATATTGCTTGATAAAGAGCAGCGTCAGCATCCTGTTTATCCGTCTTTTGTGTCGCACGTATAAAGTCTCCCAACAAACCGACAGTGATCAGCGGTTCACGTAAGTTTCTATAAAATATAAATTCAAATATATATGTATATATTGCATCCTCTTTATATATAGAATATATTTCGGGTGACATACCTAAGAAAATCTTTTAAGGTAGAACAGATAGTTGTAATATCGACATTAGAAAGATTTGGGGCGCCTTTGCCTTTCAAAAACTTCTCCAGGAGACATTTGACATCTACCTTTGCTCCGTTCACTCTGTATAATCCCTGCTCGTTCATTCCGCGTAATTCAACTTCGTTAATGCAATGAACTACTATGGAAGGTACCATGGGTGGTGTTATAGGTGTGTAATCAGCTATAGTGCCCTGCATATGAAAATGGCATTTAATGAAGATATATTGACGCTAAAATGTTTTGACATAGAAATTATAATAATATATC